CCTCCGGGGAGGCCCTGCTTTCCGTCCAACCATTGTCACAGGCACGATTGGTGGGGACGAGAGACAGGGCCTTCTTGGTGATTGGTCCCTGTCTATGGAACTCCCTTCCTGGTGAGATCAGGTCGGCCCCCTCTCTTCTTTCCCTGTAGAAGGATGGTAAAAACTTGGCTGTGGGACCAAGCTTTCAGGACAGGGCAATAAAGCAGCAATAGCCAGGCCAATTAGACTTGACGTGGATGACTAGGACTGTTTTAAATGGTGTATTTTAATATTTTGATAAATGTTTTTAATGTTTATGTATGTATATAAGAATTTGTGTCCCAGCATTGAATGTTTGCCGTATATATGCTGTGCTCTGCCCTGAGTCCCCTTTGGGGTGAGAAGGTATAAATGTTTTAAATAAATAAATAAATCCAAATACTCCTGACAGATGGCTATCCAATATCTGTTTTAAAACCTTCAGAGAACAAGACTCCATCACATTCGGAGGCTGCGTATTCCACTGCTAAACGGTTTTTACCATCAGGAAGATCTTCCTAAGATTCAGGTGGAATCACTTTTTCTGTGAAGTGCTTTGAACACATTGCTCTGTGTCCTAATCTCTGGAGCAGCAGAAAACAAGTCTACCCCATCTTCAATATGGCAGCCATTGAATCCTGACCCTGTCCTGTAGGATATTAGCTACCCCTCCTAATTTGGTGCCATTATCAAATTTGATAAGCACGCCGTCTATTCCATCATCCAAGTCATTGAAAAAGAATCCTGTGGCACTTGACTAGTCACCTCTTTCCAGGATGAGGAGGGTCTATCGGTGAGCACCCTTTGTCCTGCCCACATTTCACTTACTTATTTGCAAGAATATTATACACTATTTTCCTATTGGTGTGCATGACACTACAAAATTAAATAAAGAAAACAGGCCTTTGGGATTTTCAGTACACTTCAGCTACATTATCTCAGTAATTCTTACAACAGCCCTACAAGATAAGGCAGTGTTGTTATTCCCACATTGTAAAGAAGGCTGAGGAAATAATGGCTTGCATAAGAGACCAGCTTGTGAGTTCATGGCAGAGGTGACATCTGAACTAGGGATTTCCTGGTTCACAGCCCAGTCTGTTACGCTACACTAGCTCTATGCTTAGAGAAGCAGCTCCCTCCTCCCAAAGTATGCATGATTGCAGCCTGTAATGACATTTTAAATAGTGACCTCTAACAAAGACTTTGAAATCACTATGAAATATCTTTAAACTATAAGGACACAAAAATTATGCAAAGGCTGCAAAAACCTAGTGTAAAATTTAATTTGGTGAAAACCTTTGCCTTTTTTTTCTCCCTTTCCTGCAGACGCTTGTCTAAGCGAAAGGCAGACATTTCGCAGAGGCGCTGTTACATTAATTCATCTTCTCCTATGCCTAGGGCCATGGCTTATAATGGCATTTCCTTTCTTTCTAACAGACTGTCAGGACTTTCAAAGGACATCCCAGACAACCATAAATGCCTGTTTGCTGGATGAATCTGTCTTTTCGTAAATGTGCTCTTTGATATAGACTAATATTGTACATTTAATTTACCTATACTTGGAAAAGGAAACACTTTACTAATCGGAAAGTGGCCTCAAATAGAACTCACACATTCCCAGTAAGTCATAGTTTTAAAAACAGCAGTTAGAAATAAAGAAGATTTGACAAAGATTTCAATTCAATAAAGTTACATTCAGAGTCATATTTCATAATAGAGTGTTACAACTATAGAGGGATGTAATTTGGAATCTGTAATGATTCCTAATCTTTATTTCTGTTGGATCTCAGAAGTCTCATGCATCTTTCACTCATGCACTTTATCCTTAAACTGAAAACCACCTGAATTTATGAATAATGTTTTTTTAAAGAAATGAATGATGAATGCTTCCTTATCTTGGAACAGAACTATGCATTATAAGAAACAGAGCTGTCATCCTAAATGTCAGTCCTGTGTCAAATTACCCTTCTCCCCTCTTTCCTTGCAGAATGTAGTCCTACTTATTCTGTGTCTCCCGATGTCATTCCACCGCTCAGTTACCTGTCCCCCATTCCATGTAACTAACTGACAGGGGCAAGCATAGTGCTCAACCTAACACAATCACACTACAGACAAAGTTGAGTTATATATTACAGAGAAGTATTTGAGTTGTTCATTTGTTACACCAGCTCCATGGTTCTTTGTTTTGCTTTAGATAGCACCACAACATAGGTTTGTTATGCTGTTTTCTCCATTGTGCTGCTGTTTAGACCAAGCTCCGGTGAACTTACACTTTCTGGATCTGCTTTGTCTTTCCTTCCTAGAACCATAGTATCTATCAATCAGAACATGATGCAAAAGCATAGAGTGAAAGTATTCAGAATCTAATAATAATAATAATAATAATAATAATAATAATAATAATAATAATAATAACTTTATTTATACCCCGCCACTATCTCCCCAAGGGTACTCGGGACGGCTTATATGAGGCCAAGCCCAACAATACAGCAATACAATTATTAGGAATATAACAGTAAAATATAAAGAAAAAATAAATAAAATACAAGAAACAATATAAATAAGCACAACAAACAATATAAAATAGCAATAATTGAACACAAAAAAATTGATCACAGTGGGCAGGGCCGGTTGCAAAGTTTAAAAGTTTAAAAACACTGGGTGAGAGCAATGCAATGTATCTGGGCAGGGGACTTAGCTAAATAGCAAGAATTTGAGTAAGCAGAGCAAGCATACAATTCTTAGGGCCCTTCCTGGCAGGCCTCAATCCCAGGACGAACTGGAATATTATATCCCACGTCCTCTCAGGATTGAGGCCCCACACCTCCCTGAAACTCCAGGCTTTCCCAGGAAGGGAATGACTACATGCCCTTTCAGGTCAACCAGAGGTGCATGGCATGGAGCCCACCCCCACCCCATTTATCCCCAAAATGTACCTGAGGGGTCTGGCTGCATGCTCAGGCCACTCCGATGAAAACTCCTCGTGTGTCAAAATGATGTGTAGGGAGTTTGAGGGGGATTTCAATTTTCAGTCCCCACAGGGCCTTTACCTGGAAAGATCCGAACCTTACATTAAGGTCCGGATCTTTCCGGGTGTTTAATTAATCTGGAGTAAACTGAAATGATTGGCTGAGCTAGGGAACATATTCAACCTCTCAGAAGGCAGAACTATTTCCCTAACTATTTTTACACTGTTGTGATGCCTAACAGGATTTGGTCATTATTTCTGAGCCCACCTGGCTTCGGCATTACCACAGTGATAATGCCATTGTTTAGAAACATGATAGATAACTTAAGAGTTTCCTTCCATCTCTTCCTTTCCCCCCCCCCCCCCTCTTCCTTCAAAAATGGTAGAAGTTGAGACAGTATGTGTATGTTCCATATTTCTGCAGTCAAGATGCACAGGTGGTACTTAATTACTCAAGAGACAAGCAAATACCTGTCTAACGATATGTAACTTAGCTAAATAGCAATTGTAATGTTGTAAATGTTCCACAAGCACATCATGATGGATGGACAAGTCATGAGGCAATGGCAGTCAGTTTCAGAGCAATCTGCTGCTTGTCTCAACTACTGAGACTGGCCAATCTTCTTTGCTTTAAGTCTCTTCTTGTTTTCTTTATCGCTATGATCTACTGCCTTCTCTCTTATATTTCTCTTCTTCATCAGCAATTTAGGGTGTGGAAGGAGGGCAGAAGTGTTGGTGAACAATTATTACTATGGTTAATAAACCTAGGGGTTTGAGTAAAAATGTTGGTCTGACATATACTAAACTAACCAAAAGCTATTTTTAAAAGGATCTTTAAGAACTGTGGGTATTGCAGGACTGGGGGTTTAATCAATCCACAGCCAACAATGTACATCATTTCTAGGCATTTACTAGATCCTCCAGTGCAACCTATCTTGAAGGCCAGCCATCCTTCGTTCCAATAGGCTTCTATAATAGTCATGGTTTTGCACATCCACTGGACGTCTGGAGATATGGGGGTTGTTCAGCACTGTGAATAAAAAAATATAGCAAAGTACAAGGGTTGAATGAAAAGTAATGCCTCCACCTTCGTAACTCCTCAACAGATGGCAGTACTGGTATGCGGCAGGTGCTGGCTTGTTCAGTAGACTCTCCTCTACAGTTCCATTTTGGCAGGAAGCCTTAGCATTGAACGGTTGTGTTGTTAAAGTGCGAAGTATGGAACCCTGCACAGATGGTTGATCAATGCAACTTAAGCAACGTGCAGTCATTGAATTCTTGATAGCAGAAAGTGTCACCCCAAAGGAGATTCATCAGAGAATGCAAGCTGTTTATGGTTATTGTGTTGATGGGAGTACTGTGCGTCATTGGGCAAGTAAGTTTAAAGATGTTGAGGTTGGAACATCTGACTTGTGTGACAAACAAAGAGTTCGACGTCCTGTGACAGCAACTACTGAGTTTCACAAGCAAAAGGTTGACAGATTGATTCAGGACAATCGTCGTATCACTCAGAGAGAAATTTCAAGCATAATCGGCATTTCACAACAACATGTGGGTCACATTATTGCTTTGCTTGGCTATCAGAAGATCTGTGCACAATGGCTACCCAGGATGGGAGAACTGTGAGACGCTGGTTGTGGAGACAGTGTCGACTTCTTCCGTGACGGCTTCAGAAAACTTGTTCATTGTTGGCAGAAATGTATCCAATTGTCTGGTGATTATGTGGAAAAGTGAATAGTGGTAGTTAGAGAGCACATTCTAAGGATTAGATCTGTGTTTGATTTATTAAAATATTCCCATCCAAACCCAAGTAACGAAGGTGGAGGCATTACTTTTCATTCAACCCTTGTACCAATCATTCTATAGTTTAAGCAGAATAAGTTAATATTAAAGTATGATTTCCTTACAAAGCACCTGGATATCTTTGTCCGGTATATTTGATTGTGTTGTTTTTACATTCAACGTGTGTCTTTTTCCATGTCAAGAGTGTAATGATTGTTTTGTTTTTAATCAGGAGGCTGGAATGCAGATGGAAAAGGCCCCAGTGTTTGGGACACGTTCACCCATCAGGGAGGAGATCGGGTTTTCAAGAACCAGACTGGTGATGTAGCTTGTGGCAGCTATACTCTGTGGGAGGAAGATTTGAAATGTATCAAACAGCTTGGATTGACTCATTATCGCTTCTCTCTTTCCTGGTCACGTCTGTTACCTGATGGGACGACAGGTTTCATCAACCAGAAAGGCAATTGTTCCTTTAAAATAGAAAGTTGTGCTGCTTTAATTCAAGGTTATTGCTGCAGTCTGGCATAATTAATCCAGTGTGCTATTCTGCAGTGCAGTTTTGAAATTGCAACTTTGTTCAGAGTAATTATGGGATGATCTTGATTTTTTTTTTTTTTTAAAAAAAAGGGTTTGAAAACCTTGTCCTAATTAATATTCTGGTATACTCCTGGTAATGTGATCTTTTTAGATGAGATAAGTGTTAAGCTATATTGCTTTGTGATGGCTATTTTTAACATAAGAGTATCTTCTATTATTGTTCTTGTTGTTGCCGAATTCAGCATTATTAATATAAATGGCATTTTGCAGAGATGTGTTATCAAAACAGAAAGAAAAAAGACTCTTCCTTCAAGGAACTTAAAGTTTAAGTCCCGAGATGGTGATGGGGAAGTGAAAAAGGGGGAAATGCATAGGTAACCACAACAAAAAATGTTGAGTTGGATCCAAATGGTCATGGGCAGGAACAAAATAGTCCCTAGTAAAAATCCACTCTTAACTTGTCAACTGAATGTAGAAAGTGTTCTGTTAGGTCAATTCTGAGCCGTTACTTTACTTCTGCTTGAATAACATGTTGCACAACCCATGGGAAAATGGAAGAACACCACTGGAGGCCACTTCTCTCTTTCTTGAGACACAATCTGTGAATCAGGATGAGCCTACACTGGTCAATAAATCAAGAAGCAGTGAGTAGCAGAGGAGGTCATACGCATCCTGCCAAACCCCCTATGGTGGTGTGGTGGTGTCCACACAGTGTAGCCATGCCAAGATCACACCAGCCCTGCTGGACCATTACTTCACCATCCATGCCACCATTGCTACTCCCAGCCAGCTGCAGATCTCCATGTGAATTCTTCGCCATCACAGACAACCTGTTCTGACATGAGCAGAGGCACATGTGTGACCAGGAAGAAGATCTCCCCACCTTCTTCTTGGCTGTGCAGGTATCTTTGTTGATGTAGAATGGAGCTTGCACAGAGCTATGCAGTTGACTAAGAGCAGTGATAGATAATGAGTGCAAAGTGATGGCTGTTTTCTTGTTGATCGCAGATTGATCTAAATTAGACCTTATTCAAGTATCCACACTGCCCTAAAGCAATGGGATATTCTGGCATTCCCCAACTGCCTGAAGTGGGAGAAAGCTAGTTTAACGCAGAGTACCCCACAATACCAGAGCATTGTGAAGAAAGGCCAGAGTCAGCTTAAGTTGAACCCAAGTTTTAATGCCTATGTAGATTCGCCCTCAGAAGACTTCTTCCTCATCTAGAAGGTCACCGCAGGATTCAACCCTCTGGGAAGCATTGAACCTATTGAGAAGTGAGGCAGGGGAATGAAAGGTGATGCTGAGTTTTGGGAGGGGATTCTATAGCAAAAATAAAAAAGAGAGAGAGAGAGAGAGGTTGGCATAAAATATCTTCGAGATGTAAATGGGTGGTGGGGAGAAAGTGTGGAATCACAGATTAGAGTAGGAAAGTTCAGGGTGATGTAAGCCACTATGGCTGGAGTGAAATGCAATCTAAATTATGCTGTTTTAAGGAATTGCCAACCTAGCAGTTTGAAAACATGCAAGTGTGAGTCGATCAATAGGTACTGCTTCTGTGGGAAGGTAACAGCACTCCGTGCAGTCATGCTGGCCACATGACCTTGGAGATGTCTATGGCATCTCTTCAGCCTAGAAATGGAGATGAGCACCACCCCACAGTCGTACATGACTAGACTTAATGTGAGGGAAACCTTTACCTCTACCTAAGAATTGCTTTATTTTAAAAACCTTGATAATAGACCATTCTTGCTCATCAACACCGTATGCATACATGTACACTGTTTTTTCAGCATTCAGTCTGAATGTCTATTGGACTAATTCTGCTACTTTCCTGCCATGTGTTAAGCATACCCATTTTATTTGACTTGAGAAAAAAGGGTTTTGAGCTGAAACCAGGTAGGAAAAACAAATGACAGAGATGCTTAGCCTATTGGGAATTTACCAGGAAAGTAAGAGAAAATGAATCTGGTCCTTTGTATAGATATGTTCTTCTTTTCCTTCCTCTATCTACAGTGGGTAAGTCTTGAGAGAGCAAAGGATCTCGCTGTAACTCCTTTCTATTTTCAATGCCATGACATCTTATGAGGCTGATAATTTGGAGAATGGAAATTTGAATTATCAGCCAGAGAACTCTAGTACTTTACCAAACTACAAATCTAGTACTTTACCAAACTACAAACTACAAATCCTAAGCCTCCATAGGATGTTTTAGTGGCATTGAAAACTGGAATCATAGCACTATAATAGTGTACTGCGAAAGGATCCTGACTTTCATTTTACGAAATCATGTATTTTCCTTTTAGCAGACTTTGGAAATAGAACAATGTGAAATATTTATTTATTTATTTATTTATTTACTACACTTGTATACCACCCCTCTCAGCCCAAAGGCGACTCAGGGTGGTTAATTATAATAATTATGTTAGTTGAGTTGAGCTGAGTTCAGCTTTATTTGATCACAAAAGAAAGGGAAAACTTAATTCAAACATATTTCTAGCATATTACTTGTGGTGTAATGATGGCCAATGACATTATTGTCATATAAAATGCCATTCAATGGCCTTTCAGATAGAAAGTACAACAGTCTTTGCTGCTTGACAGCACTGGGGTCCAAAATAGGTTATATAATGTACATTTTGAAAGGAAAGGATAAATTCAACCAACATGAGAAGAGAGCAGTAAGAGAAATCACCATGCCTACAAATTCATTTGTAACTTAAAGATTTTTTTTCCCTCCTGCTTGGTTCTTATTGTAAACACATTTCTGATTAATATTATGAACTTTAAATTTAACAAAAGGGCACTGGAAGCTCTCCTAGTAGGTTGGCTTTCATTAGGCAGGATCTCGTTTCTCCTGAGCAGTGATCTGTTGAAGCAATTCAAACTGCATAGCATGGAAAAGGCCACCATCCTCTGTATAAACATATTTTTTTCAAGGAGCATGGAGAGAATTAGAAACCTGAGCAATGTCCTTTTGAAAAATCAAAAGAACGTCTTCACTACCAATTTCACACTTAAAGTGTGGGACTTTGGTGTAGATAGATGACTTTTTTCTGAACTAAATATGTATGGGTTTAAATGTTATTTTAATTTAGAGCAACAATATGACAAGAAAGGCTGTCTTTAGCATTTTAGTCACAGCAATGTTGTGAGACTTAGAAAACAGATTTTGAAATATCCTTAAAAAGCAGGAATGGGGGGTGGGGAGGGTTGTGTTTAAAATACCACCTTCATGATAAACGCATAATAATAAGATTATTCCTGTTTTAAGACTAGTTAACTATCATGGTAATATAATTTTATTGAACTTTCTGAACATTCAAAGTCCTCCACGTTGGAGTGCAACTCCCATCAATCCTAGTTAGCAGTGTAGCCACTGTTGTGAGAGTTGATGAGCATTGTAATTCAACATCTGGAAGGCCATACATTCCCTGCTTTTGTCTTAAAGCAGTGGTTCTCAACCTGTAGGTCCCCAGGTGTTTTGTCTTTCAAGTCCCAGAACTTCCAGCCGATTTACCAGCTGTTAGGATTTCTGGGAGTTGAAGGCCAAAACATCTGGGGACCCACAGGTTGAGAACCACTGTCTTAAAGCATATAATTGCCCATCTCTGTTTCATTATTATTTTCTGTTATTGTTGCATCCTTTACTGCCCCAGATATCCTGAATTAAATGTGTTTGATTCCCTTTAAAATACCACCTTCATGATAAATGCATAATAATAAGATTATTCCTGTTTTAAGACTAGTTAACTTTCATGGTAATATAATTTTATTAGGCTTTCTGAACATTCAGAGTCCTTCACATACTAGTGTTGCAGTGGTCCTACAAATTAGGCGATAGTTACTGAGGCTCACTGATTTAATTTGAACCTAGGTTTTCCCGATTCTCATTGTTCTCTCTCGCTTTTTTTTCTCCCCCCCCCCCTTTCACACACAAATGGCATCTCAAGTTTGCCATGCATCTAATACCTGAGTGCTAAAATTAGACAGATTTTGCTTTGAGCCAAACTGTGTGCTTGTGTTTCCTGCCACAAGGGCAAATAAAGCCAACGTGGCTATTATTAGACAGAAGGGAACTACGTGTGTGGCCACATTTTTGGCAGAGTTCAGGACATTGAAATTTAGGACAATTTGCTTGCTCTCGTCAGCTCAGGTATTCTGTGTGTTTGGCTACCAAGATCCATGCAAAGTCTAGTAGCATTCTGCATCAGGTGCTCCATCAAAAACAGAATGCCTGGAAAGCTTTGAGGTAAGCCAACCATATGGTACAGCTGTGAAAGCAGAATCATTTTAATGCCCAACACTGCCTCTGTAAAGATAATGTAGAGCACGACATCTGGGCCTGGATGTTGTTTTGTGCTCATTTAACACTAGTTGAACAGAAAGCCAGAAAAACAGAAGAAATGGGTCTTAGTCACTGGATACTGTCACAGGATGCTGCTCAGGGAACACCCAGATGTTTTACCATCCTTTGGGAGGCTGGATTTGAACTGCCAACCTTTTGGTCAGCAGTCATGCCAGCACAAGTGTTTCTCAAGTCACTCCTGACATGAAAAAAAACTGGATACTGTCAGAAACTTCAGCCCCAAATACTAGTAGAGTGTTAATGAATAGTCATAGTCTACGGTCAAGCTGATAGGCTGACAGAGGTGCAGTCATTAGCAGGATAACAATTACAAAGGAACCTAATGTCCATTCCAGGGCCGTAAGCTGATTACCAGAGTGTCATAGTATAAGGTTGAATCAGAATTTGTAAGCCAAGGTAAGTCCAGGGTTCAGGAACACAAGATAGCAAGAGCCCAAGGTCATAGCTCCTAAAACTGATGTTGCAACCAGTAACAAGGGGCTTCCCCTGAGCTATTTCTCAGCCATTTTCTAAAACCTGCGGGGTGAGATCTCTCTCTTCGCAAGTCCATAAAAACTGTAACAGTTAACTCTTCCTCAGCTTGCTCAGAGGAACTATCTTGCATTTGTTCTGAAGACTAGGAATTTTAGAGGCTTTTCTTAACATCTCCTTGAAAGCAACAGCTGAGGGAGTTGCTAGGCTCCAGTTCAACAGCTGTGCCTTCCTCCACCATCTCTTTATCCTTGCTTTTCAAGCTATCCATGACAGATACTTCTTCACAGTTCTTGGTAATACAGGTTGAGTCTCTATTATCCAGAAATCCAAAATTGTTCACATGGAAAGTTAGTGATAACTTTGCTTCACTATACACAAATTGTGTTTCATGTACAAAATTATTAGAAATATTGAGTATAAAACCACCTTCAAATGAGTGAATTTTGTGTTCTGATGTGGATCCCATTCCCAAGATATCTCATTCTGTAAATGCAAATATTCCCCCAAAAAATGGAAATCATTATAGATCTATTTATTTATTACTTTTTGTCTAACGAAAAGAGCAAATACTGCAACTTTTTCACAGTAGGATCTTCCAGATCCTGAATTTTTTTTACTGTTCTTCATCTTTTCCTACTTTCCCTTTTTCTCTATATAGTAAAGGTAAAGGTTTCCCCTTGACATTAAGCCTAGTCATGTCCAACTCTGGGGGTGGTGCTCATCTCCATTTCTAAGCCAAAGAGCCAGCGTTGTCCGTGAATACCTCCAGGGCCATGTGGCCGGCATGATTGCATGGAGCACTGTTACCTTCCAGCCGAAGTGGTACGCATCCATCTACTCAAATTTGCATGTTTTCAAACTAGGTTGGAAGAAGCTAGGGCTAACAGCGGGAGCTCACCCCGTTCCATAGATTGGAACTGCCAACCTTTCAGTCAGCAAGTCCAGCAGCTCAGCAGTTTAACCCACTGCACCACCGGGGGCTTCTTTTCTCTATATATTGTGAGAGTAATAATACTGTCCTAATTTGTGAGTAAGTTGTGTTTATATAACTATGAATTCTTATGTGACATGACCATAAATTCAAAGAGAAAACTTTTAAAATATTTTATCTAAATCAACCCTAAAAAAAATATTATGCTATAGGTATGTTAGAGAACTGACTAGTTCTAGGGGAAGGAGGTAACTCCACATGTGGGACTTGAATAGATTTTGTTATTGTCATGTGCTTTCAAGTGAACTCTGATGTATTGCAACCCTGTCATTGGGTATTTTTAGCAAAATTTATTCAGTCATTTGCCACTGGCATCCTCCAAGGCTAAGAAAGTCTCCATAATTGGATGAGAATTGGAATCCCAGAGTCTTAGTCCAACATTCAGACCATTGTGGCTCTATAGATATCCTACAATGCAATAAATAATTGGAAAGAAAGAACAATAGGTTCAACTATACTGTAGAATTAATTCAGTTTGAGACGACCTGCCATGGCTCAATTCTAAGGAATTACAAGGTCATCCATAGTAATGAGCCAAAGCAGGTAAAGTGATATCAACCTACATTACATCTACAGTGTGGCTGCCTCCCAGGTCTGTTATTTGTCAGTTTCGTTGAATACAGGTGCCAGTCTCTTTCTTTTTTCTTTTTTCTTTTTTCTTTTTTTTAGGAGTGGATTATTATAACACAGTGATTGATGGCCTGCTAGCAAATGGAGTGACACCTGTGGTTACACTGTACCACTTTGACCTACCTGAACATTTAGAGCATCAAGGTGGCTGGAGATCAGGGGCAATCGTGGCAGCCTTTGATGCATATGCACAGTTTTGCTTCAGAACATTTGGGGATAGGGTGAAGCTGTGGCTCACCATTAATGAACCCTATGTTCTTGCCACTCTTGGTTATGAAGAGGGTGTCATGGCCCCGGGCGTTAAAGAGCTTGGTACTGGAGCATACCAATCAGCTCATAATATGATCAAAGCTCATGCTGTAGCTTGGCACAGTTACAATCAACTCTTCCGAAAAAAGCAGGGTGGGCTTGTGTCTATAGCACTGAATTCAGACTGGGCTGAACCTTTTGATCCAAATTCCCCTGCTGACCAGGAAGCTGCCAAGAGGCACATGGCATTTTGCCTTGACTGGTTTGCTACCCCCATCTTTCTTGATGGCGATTACCCAGCCATAATGAAATCTAAGATCTCTGCTGTGTGTAAAAGGCAAGGCATTCCATCATCAAGGCTCCTTGAATTTACCGATGCAGAGAAGAAGATGATCAAGGGCACTGCTGACTTCTTTGCTCTAAATTATTATACATCCCGCAAAATGAAGCACCAAGAAAATACAAACACTCAGCCAAGTATGTCTGCAGACAAAGAAGCAGAAGAAGTAAAGGATCCTTCTTGGCCAGTTGCAAGTGGCAGTTCTTGGCTGGCTGTTGTCCCATGGGGCTTACGTCAGCTATTGAAGTACATCAAGGTATGGCATTTCCCTTGACCTGTTCCTATTTGTTGAGCCAACAATTGTTAATTCTCATATATTTTATTATTTATGTGTGTCTCGGTAATAGCATTATGTCACAACCTGCACTGCCTTGATAGTTCCTCGTGTAAGGGTTGTCTTATATTCAGTGTAAGGGATCATACCACTCATCAGATTAAGATGAGACACATCTGGTCCTCTGGTAGTTGAATTTGAGTTCTTATTAGTCCCAATCATCATCATCATTATGAACAGATAATGGGAGTTGCAATTCAAGAGCATTTAAAAGGTCCCAAATTGCCACCATTGCCTTGGATATTGTGTGCTGAAGATGCACTATGTTCACATCTTTTATGTTTTCAGGCCTACCCAGTCAATGTTGAATTATACATTTTAAACTCATGTCTGTGTTTATTGTATTTTAATCTTTATTTTGTGTATTTTAAAATTTTATTTATTTTATTTACGGTATTTATATCCCACCTTTCTCAGCCTGAAGGCGACTCAAGACGGCTTACAGTTGGCAGCAATTTGATACCCCAACAGAAATAAACAGTTTAAAAACATTTAGCATATAATATAAAACCATACAAAAAAAAAAACCCATAGGTCATCAGTGTCTCCTTACTAAACTCATTTTCCAGTCACATCGTCAAGCCATTCCATAGTTCCATATTTACCTATTACGCTGCATTTGTATATGTATATATATGTATTTCATACCAATACATTTTAATATATGTATTTTACATAATGTTTTGTAATGGTGTGTTTTAAAGCCCTACACGGTTCCGGCCCCACCTACCTCTCCGAACGCATCTCCACCTATGAACCGACGAGGACTTTAAGATCGTCCGGGGAGGCCCTGCTCTTGGTCCCGCCGGCGTCGCAAGCGCGGTTGGCGGGGACGAGAGACAGGGCCTTCTCAGTGGTGGCCCCTCGGCTATGGAATGCCCTACCAGTGGACATCAGGCAGGCCCCTTCGTTGCTGGTGTTTCGGAGGAGGGTTAAGGCGTGGCTCTATGAGCAGGCGTTTGGACAACTATGCAATGACAACTAACTCAGAAAGACGGCATTGAACAAGGAACGAAAAAGGACTATGAGAACGGAATCTGATTCTAATTGAGGCGTTGATGACTTTGTGTGTTGTTTGTGTATGTGCGTCTTATATATTGTCAGTGTTCCCCCTTCTTTACTGTAAACCGCATTGAGTCGCCGTCGCAGGCTGATAAATGCGGTATACAAATGGAGTAAATAAATAAATAAATAAATAAATAAACTGTGTTGTGCCCTGCCTCAAGAAATAAACATTATTATTATTATTATTATTATTATTATTATTATTATAAACACAACAAGATGATTTCACAGCAAACAAGATCACTCAACTGACTGTTGTCTTGGATCACATGTCAGACACTTCCCAAGTGTCTAGGACTGTGTGATGTATCGGGGAATAATGCGTGCAGATCCCAGTAGGGTGTCCTTTTGCAGCTGGCAGATGGTAATCTTGTCAGCGCCAATTGGATTTAAGTGCAGGCCAAGATCTTTAGGCACTGCACCCAGTGTGCCAATCACCACTGGGACCACCTTTACTGGTTTGTGCCATAGTCTTTGCAGTTTGATCTTTAAATCCTCATATCATGTCATTTTTTCCAGTTGTTTCTCTTCAATCCTGCTGTTGGCTGGGATTGCAACATCAACGAGCCACACTTTGTTTTTTAACACAATCGTGAGGTCAGGAGTATTGTGCTTCAAAAATTTGTGAGGTCCTTTGTTCCCTTACTGAAGATTTAAATCCATGAGTTGCTTTTCTTGTGTGTTTCTTTGTTTGCTTTACTTTTAGGGATAGGAGAAACATGGACTCTGTTACTTGAGCTGCTTAAAAGGTGCAGCAACATTGTGTTGGTGGCTGGAACAGAACTCTCTTCCTTTCTCCTCTATATTGCCAGAAAATCCAGCTGGCTTGCCACCCTTCCAGACAGTAGTAGCTGATAGCTATCATGTCAGTGGGGCATCTGTTTGAAAAAGCTGTCCAAAGTGCTAGATCTACTGCAGGGAGGATTCAGCATGCAGGACAGTTGCTTTAAAGTTCAGTCTGAAACTTGGACCTGACTTACTGTTCCATTAACATGGAAGCCATCTGATGTTCCCTTAGAGCTGTTATGGTGAGTTTTCAATTGAGAAGGGGCAAGCCTCTCTCCTGTTTCAACTCAGTTCCACTGTTCTGCCAGTAGAAGTCCAGTATTGAATATTTCTTTAAAACAATCCTGTTCACATTCATATCTTCCTTTCTGCACCCCATCCTCTGGCTCAGCATTATGCATTTCACAAACATCCTTATCGGAGCTTTGGATTCTTGATTCAGTAATCTGTGGAATCTCACCCCACTCTTCAGATACTCAGTTTGAACTGGTGTAGACTGAGTTATAGTATGCTCCCAATGCAGGTGAATCATATTTGGGATGATCCATAATAAGCAGAAAACTTGGCCAGAGTTTGTTATTTTTGTTTGTCAAGAGAAATGAGCCCTAGTGACTGCACTCTTAAAAATAATGAGTTCTAACAATTTCTTGAGGCAGCAAAATGCAACAACAAGCACTCTTTCTAAGAACTGCAAACTCAAAGGTAAATCTTCTTTGTTGGAAACATAGTCTGAATTGTGTTTATATGCATGAAGTCAGAGGAAGCAAAGTGTTCATATGTGGAAGGGAAAATGATCTGATGAAATCAAGCCATTACAGGGAATAACACTGTAGGGCAAGTTGAAGACTGGGAAAAGATTTTAGGACTGTAGATGAGAAGAAGATATGAGAGAAAGGATAGGGGTTTAAAGTGAAAGATGGCTCTGAAGAAACCTCTTTCAGTGCCTATTCTGATCAGTGGAAAGGATATGGCATGAAAGAAAGAGGCAACCTAGAGACAAGAGGTGATTTAGCCTAATAATAATAATAATAATAATAATTATTATTATTATTATTATTATTATTATTATTATTTGGAAATAATAAACATCGACAAAATCACAATCTGTCAACTGCAAAAGGCCACCTTACTTGGATCTGCACACATCATTCGAAAATACATCACATCGTCCTAGACGCTTGGGAAGTGTTCGACTTGTGATTTAGTGATACGAAGTCCAGCATATAGATCTCATTTGCTGTGACATACTGTGTTTTTGTGTCAGTAAAATAATATAATAATAATAATCTTTCTTGATATCCCACCACCTCCTCCCCGAAGGGACTTGGGTGGCTTACTAGGCACTCCAGGGTGCTCATATACAACAGGTAACAGCAGTAGAAAAGTATAAAACAAGTCACATAGAATTATAACAACAACCCCTGTCAACATATGTGGCATAAAATCAACATACAATTTTGAAACAACAGTAGATAAAACTAACTGCCATTAATTCACAAGGTGCCAAGTGTCAGCTTCATATGGTCCCATTCAGCCCACTCAAGGTCTGAACATCCATGTTTCAGGTTGGAATGGAGGGATCGAAGGGTGGGGGTGAATCTGATCTGTTTTGGGAGGGTATTCCAGAGCTGGGGGGCTACCACAGAGAAGGCCCTTACTCTTGTCCCCACCAACTGCACTTGAGACAGTGGTGGGACTGAGAGAAGGATCTCCCCTGTCGATCTCAGCGCCCGCACCGGTTCATAGAAAGAGATGCAGTTTCGAAGATCAGTTGGACCTGAAGGTCATACTCGTATTGTAGTATCTGTCCACTGGACTGTACTGGCTGATGAATCTTTTATGTAAATGAGACTCCATTTCTGGAACCACTAGGTGTATGCCTCTGATTTATATTGTGGCCAGGCCCTTTGGTGTCTTATCCCAATGATTCAGTCAAAAATGAGATGATCCACGATTTCTCAAAATAAAAGGTATTGCCTCTATTGAGTTGCCAAATTAGTACACAAGATGCAGCCATCATAACACTGCCATATTTTGAGTTACTTACTCAGATCCGCTAAATCCAATGCATTTTCCCATGATTGTTATGTTTAGGTTTCATCATTTTTGGTAACCTACCCTTGAAGTGAGAGACTGATGAGTAATAGCTCATCATTTGTTCAGGTCCTAATTTGAATAAGCCAATAATTTCCAATATGAAAAAAAAATGTCTCCATCGTGGCTCTGAATTTTTTTTAACCATAAGAACAGACATTTTGCTTCCATTGCCTGGGTGGTTATGATTGGATATTCAGATCATTTCTTCTCATGGGATTTGCCATGGCTTGCTAAGACCAAGGGTTAAAAAGCAGTGACAATAAAGCAGATGCTAATGCTGAAAAGATATTTTAGTATTCTCATTAAAATAAGTAATTTCTCTGTCTTCATGGATATTTGCACAGTTTTGCTTTTCCATTGTTAGTCATAAAAGGTCAGCTTGTGGAAAATTAAGTTAATAGGGTCAGTGCAATTTGATGAAAACTAGTTTTGGGATGTAGCTTAAAACAGATAGAGGGTAATGCACCTGATTTTATGGGCTTTTCTTAACATCTGTTCTGAATAAAACTTCTGCTCTCTTGTTCTAGGATACATATAATCACCCTATAATTTACATCACAGAGAATGGGTTTTCCCAAAGTGACCCTGCTCCACTCGATGACACTCAGCGCTGGGAGTATTTCAAGCTGACTTTACAGGAGATTTTAAAAGGTACAATTTAAGGATGATAAAAGATCAATTGTGCAAACTTAATATAATTTTCTTATATGCCTATTTGCATTTAGCAATGGCCAGTGATTCTTGAAACTAATGTACATCAGACAAAAGCATTGTGATTAGAGGGGAAAATGTTTTGCAGATAGGAGAGTAGTTTCAGTCTCCCTGTGCCCTCCAGGAATGGAAGGAAATGAAAAGATTTTAGCACATGTTAAGGGGGAAGTATTTTTTCAGTCTGGGTTCATAATTCTGCAATGGTAGGCTAATCTAACTGACATATGTCTTGGCAGAAGAAAATGGAGTTAGAAGTAAGTAATATTTGTTTAATACTGAGCAATGAATTAGTCTGAGGTCTATAGCTGTAGTAGGAAACTGTCAGAGGTTAAGTTGGAATGTGTCCAGAGGAGGATTATTAAAATGATCCAGGGGTCTGAAGAACAAGCCCTATGAGGAGTGGCCTAAAGAGCTGGGCATGTTTAGCCTGCAAAAGAGAAGGCTGAGAGGAGATATGATAGCCATGTATAAATACGTGAGGAGAAATCATAGGAAGGAGGGAGCAGGTTTGTTTTCTGCTGCCCTGAAGTACTAGAATGCAGAACAATGACTTCAAACTACAGGAAAGGAGACTCCACCTGAACATTAAGAAGAACTCTCTGCCCCAGAGTGTAGTGGAGGCTCCTTCTTGGATATTTTTAAACAGAGGTTGAATGACCATCTGTCAGGGGTGCTTTGAATGCGATGTTCATGCCTCTTGGCAGGGGGGTGGACTGGATGGCCCACAAGGTCTCTTCCAACTCTTTGATTCTAGAGGACTGCATTAGCCTTAATAATAATAATAATAATAATCTTTATTTATACCCCTCCACCATCTTCCCAATGGGGACTCGGAGCGGCTTACATGAGGCCAAGCCCAAATGACAATTACAATAAAGAAAAACCCCAAACACAAACTGAAAATGCGAACAATAAACAATAACATCATAGTTACATAAAACATATGAATACATAACAATATATAAAAAATATGCACAGGCATAATAATAATGGGTGGGCTACATGTAGTGATTAAAAAGACAAACTGATTAAAACTAATTAAAATTGGCTGGAAACTTGGAAAAGTAATCCTCCCCATTGTTTCCCCATTCTATGGAGGCAATGTTCTTGTTTTAAAGGGTTTTTAGCCTTCTCTGCCAAGAAGTGCTGGTGCCGCACAAAACTACAAATCCCAGGATTCCATAGCCATGGCAATTAAAGTGGTGTCAAACTGTATTAATTCTATAGTGTACATGCACCCTCTGACATTTGTGAGACCACTCCCCCCCCCTTTTTTTTTTTTAGACAGAAAATTTTGAATTTCTCTGTACTGCTTTATCTGGCATGGGGAGGGGGGGGGGCTTTTACATGCTGTTTAGGTAATACTCAAGTCAGTTATAATCCTGAAGAAAAGCCTTTATCTATGCTGGAGACAGAAACCTCAAAGAGTTAAAGTAAGAGTCATTTTATTGCTGCCTAATGATGTTTAAATTGTACTGCCTCTTGTCTTGATCCTCACATGGCCGCTCTGCCTTTTTAAACTGAACTTTAAAGGAACTATTCTCAGAATGGGTTCAAACCTGGGACACCTCCTTTGAAGCTCAGATTAAAACACAGAGTGGATTCACCTCTGGACTCACATGGGAATCGCCAGTCACCATGTCCGACTAAGCCAAATGGCTTTTATACATAAGGAAAAGAACAGAGGAGATTTATGTATTTGTAAAAGGAATCTCTTCCATTTGCAACTGCAGCACAACCCGTATGAGGGAAACAAAACAGCAGAATGAATGGCGCAAAAGAGATTTATATTGAAGAGAAATGAAATTAAAATATGGAAGCTTAGTATTGAGAGAGGAAACGAAGTGTACCACCATGGGATTGGTACTGGCTTTGAAAGAAAAATTGCACAAAGGAACATCTTTCAACCTGTCTAGGGAACTAGCCATTTTCATCTGTTCAGGAAAAGCAACCAAGAGTCTTGTGATGCCTTAAAGGCTAAGACATTTTATTTGGCGCCATCTTTTCAGCGACCTGAGCTGAGAAATGCTGTTCCTGTCCTTTCTTTAGGACCCCATCCACACTGACCATGTAATGCAGTTCAGAGCTAGCTTCAAACTGCAACAGCTAGACGACAAACACCCACAAAAAAATATGCAAAAGAAAGCCCTTAATGTGCACCAGTCCTCTGTAGTTTGTATGATCACTATCCAGGCCCATACTCATTCCAGGATTTCCAGTGTAATCAATGAAACCACTTTCTTCAATAGCGGTTTGAAACTGACTAGAGTGATCAATGTAGATGTGTCCTTAGTCATTTTCCTATTTACTCACACTGCCTAAGGACAGTGTGAGTCCTGTTTGTGACCTGTAGCCTATTCCATCATATGCACTGTGTGGGTTCTTCATTGACAAATCATGAATGTTTGGACAAAAGGGTAAAATCAGTGGGTTGAAAAATAATTGAAGTATAAAAAAGGAAAGATTTTTCGAGGTTGTGACTGTTCATTTCTTTAGTTGTAGTCATTAACAAACAGTAATTGGTTTATATACTTCAGGGTGGAAGAACTAATATTTGTTTTGGTGAAGCTCAAAATAGGCCAAATATCTAGTTAAAATAAGATATTTACTTTGAGCCCTTGAAGGAAATCAAACACATAACAAACCACTGGTAATTCCTTCTGTTTTCCCTCAAATGGTGTCAAGGCTAATGTGTAGTGATAGTAGATCAATGCAATAATTAATATGTTTAATCTGCAGAATGTAAAAATATGCCCAATAGATTTATTCTGTTTACATAATATGAAAATTACACTGCCTGGATTTGGGGAATTGTAACATGAAGCAGGAGAGTGACCAATTGAATTTTGTGAGGACAACAGTTCGTTAATTGCAAACACAATTTTCAAACAACTGTATACATGGCCATCACTCAATGGACAGTAGAAAAATCAAATAGAGGACATAATTAGAAGCAGAAGATGGAGAAACTCCGTTCCCTCTGTGAAAACAAGATCAGGAGCAGATTATGACATAGGCCATGAACTACTTATATCAAAAATTAGAGTAAAGCTAAAAGAGAACACTAAAACAAGCTTTCTGCTAAAATAACATTCCTATAGAATTTTCTTTAATGTGCAAAAATAGATTTGCCCTGTTAAGTCTTATTGATCAGAACAAACAGAACTCTGGACTAAAACCAGGGACATTGATAGGGAGGAATGCAATAAGACAGTATCTGCAGCCAAAATTAAAGAAAAGCCTCAGTGAATGAAATGTGAAACTCTTTCAATAGTTAGGGCAGACGAGATGCAAAAGTAAAAGGGGAGAGAAATGTGTTCAGAACCCTGATTACAACTAACTATTCAGTAACGTATTCACAGGGACAAAGGAACTGACTATGATGATCAATTCAGAAAAATAAAAGATGCCAAGAAAAAAGGAAAAACAAGAAATATCTTCTTGAGTTCTGAGAAATCAAAGGGAAAATTAAAACCAATAGCAATGACTTGGAACAATTCCTGCAGAAAGTAAAGGGAAAAAGTACAAAGCAGGTTTATAGTTGAGCATTAAGAAAACAAAAAATAATAACCACAGATGATTTATATAATTTTAAAGTGGACGATGAAGACAGTGATATAGTTCCATACCTTTAATCAGAATGGAGTCAAGAAATCAGAAGAAGACTAGGACTTGGAAGGGCAGCTATGAAGGAACTAGACTAGATCATGAAATGTAAAGGTATATGAATGAAGGTTAGGATATGCCATAATAGTTCCAATATCTGTATATGGTAGTGAAAACTGTTCAGTAAAGAAAGCGGATAGGGGAAAAATGAATTTTAAATGTGTTGTGAGAAAGGGGTTTTATTAATATATGAACTGCTGAAAAGACAAATCAATGGGTTGTAGAACAAATCAAGCCTGAACTGTCTCTGTAAGCTAAGATGACTAAAATGAGACTTTTAGATATTAGAATATCATAAGACAGGAATCACTAAAACAACATTATTTTTTTTAGTAAGGTAGAAGGCAGTAAGAAAAAAAAGTTAGGCTCTATCAAGTCCTTAAGTGATGAGACCTGATGATAGGATGGTTTGTCAGTCTCTCATTCATAGAGTTGCCATAAATTGAAGTTGACTTTCTGGAACTCAACAACACAGCTGACACTGAGGACCTCATCACATGGAGAAAATTCCCCATTGTAGCTCACTTGGCCCACACAACCAGTACGGAGCCCACTGGATCTCATCACATGATGCAGATCTTCTGGTGGGGTTCCATGCTGGTTGCTTCCGTGAAGTGTGCTACAAGGGAGAAATCTGAACATGGGAGACTATCTGTTTTCAGAAAAGAAATCACAGAGACAGCGTGGGAGCTCTCCAGAAAGATACGCTTTCGGGAGTGTGATGGGCAAGCGGATAATGCAGGGTACTGGGCGGAAGATAAGCTCTGCTGCCCCATGATTTGCCCTGCTGTCCAACGCATGAAGAACCTCCATGTAATGAAGTTCTAAGTCAGGAGTCAAGTCAGTATTTACGCCAAAAACAAAACAAAAATCACTCATTATCAACCGCCTCTTTTACTATTTAACCTGTGCTTATACCAATGTTTGTTTCAAGACTTTCCAAAATGAATACAACTACAATGAATTTACTTGAGAAGCAAATCTTTTTGTAATTTAATCTTTAGTCTTTGTAAACCTGGGTGTAAATCCCTGTCGGAATGGCTGCCCAATCATCCCTCCCACCAAAATGTGAAATGGCTTCCCAGGAGCAAATGGCTACTTCTTTCAAGATGCCTGCCTTTAGTTGTGTAAAAGTTTTAACAATTCTCACATTTGCTATTACCATACAGAAGTTAAAATGTTCAACACTCATGCCTGTGGGAATAATATCAAAATCAAGCTGTATAAAGACGGATGCATTTTTGCTCTCCCTTCCAATGACAGGAAATCAATTT